GAGGTGTTGTTCTGTGTATGCAGTTGATCCTGTTTTGGGTTAGTGTCTGTGTGTGTGTGTGTTTTTCTTTTTAATCTGAAAATTGGTCTTTGAGTCTGCAAGCAGCAGCTGCAGCTGCCATAATTAAAATGAAATAACCTGCTTCCTTTAGTCCTTAGGGAGAAAACCTTAAAAAAAAAAAAGTCCATATTCTAAATGGACTCCAGAATGTGGTGAATGTCCTCGTCTCTCCCTCTACTTGCAACGAGTTTCCTGGCTTTGCTTTTCTCTGGAATTGGGGAAAAGAAGGAAATTAACTGTTACCGAGCTTTTACCTTGGCCCCACGCACTCTGCAGGGCTGTCCCAACTGCACAAGTCAGCGTTTGTATCCAGTTTGATGCTTCATTTCTTTTCCCGCTGCCAGGCACCCTCCAGTATCCTGTTAGGTAGACCTGGTCCGATTCTGTCCAGAGACCTGGGAGGCTTGGTATTATTAAGATGTTATTGAAAATGTTGGCGCATATAATTGGCTTAGATTAGAAACCAAAGTTCTTTGCAGGGTAACAAGGTGAAGTAGTCTGTGCAAATGATTGCATGATAATGAGATGGTTTTCAGAGGATCAGATGTGCTCTTGAAGGTGTTGCTTAAAAGTCGCTCTTCAAACCAGGCTGGGAAAATAAAATCCCACAGGAGCTGAAGCCTCTGTGGTTTGTTTGGATCTTAGAACAAGGTAACTAAGGGAGAAAGGGGTAACTGTGTGCTAGGAATTGAAGATGCAGCGGTCACTGGCTTCAAGGAGGTCCCGGGGGGGGAGGGAAAGACATGCAGACCAATAATTAGAAGACGTTGGTAATAAGCAGTAGGTCAGAGATATGTACAACTTGCTATAGTTTCAGCTTTTTTTTTCCCTTCCAAAGTCCATTTCCTCAATTGGGACTTTGTGAGGAGCAGAGCCACCTCACAGGGAGAGCAATGTCCAGAATGTTGAACATGAAAAGAGGAGAAGAAATTATTTTATGTTCTTATGCCTATGCCAGGGGTCTGCCATTTAGCCTAATCCCTTATAATCATCCCCATTTAATAATGAGGAAATGTAAGGAGCTCAGTGGTTTGCCCCAGGCTGCAGAGCCGGTAATTGGGTGCGGTGTGATCCAGAGCCCCTCTGTTTGCTTCTAAAGCCCCTGCTCTTCCTGTCGCATGAGGCTTCCTCTAAAAAAATGTGCACTCCTGATTGTCAGGTATATACAGCCCATCATGACCTGTAGTTAGAATGAGGAAATTTTTTTTCCCGTAGAAAAAAACCCCAAGTTTTAATGGCAAGCATCTTTTTTTTTTTTTTAAGATTGTATTTATTTATTTGAGAGAGAGAAAGAGAGCACAATCGGGGAAGGTCAGAGAGAGAAGCAGACTCTCCGCCAAGCAGGGAGCCTGACGCAGCCTGGATCCCAGGACCCTGGGATCATGACCTGAGCTGAGGCAGACGCTTCACTGACGGAGCCCCTCCAGGCGCCCCAAATAGCAGGCGTCCTGATAGGATGATCCATGGTCTTCACCAGGCTGCAGATAGGACTACCCAGTTCAGGAGGATTGAGTCCTCTGGGCAATCCTCCCAAACAGTAGAGTCAGCTCAGAGTATAGAAACGCTTGGTCCCTCATGGACATCGTACGTGGCCCGAGCAGAGTCCTGGGTATCGAAAAGATGCCCCCCCCCGCCACACCCCGGGCTCCTGGGTCAGCTGCTCCTGCTACCATGGCTTAGCGAAGAAGTGAAGGACAAAAGCAACACTCGCCTCTAAGGGAAGAGGATGGTCTCCTGCTACGTTTGAAATCCTCTGCAGGAGACTGCAGTCTATGGTGATTGGGATCCAACTCAACGCATTGTCCTATCTCGTTGATTTGTGGCCACTTTGGGGAAAACAAACAGAAGCAAAGGGGCTCTGTGCTTCATCCCACCCAGGCCTCTTAAAGGCAGTCTAGGAAACAATCACATTCTGCCCACCTAGGTAGGCAGGAAGGGGCTCTGGAAGCAGAAGGTGTACTGAGAGTATTGGGGTCGTGTGTCACATGCTGGGTCATAGCACGCTTTATGGCTCACCTGCAAAGAAAAAGAACAGCGTTTAGATTTTGTTTCTACCGCTTCCTAGCTGGGGGATTAGAGGCAAGCGGCTTAAATTCCCTAAAGTCTCCTTTTCCTCCCTGCAAGTCTGGAAGGATAATGCTTGCCTAGTGCAGTTGTTTGGAAGTTTCCATGAGATCAAATACCAGCCAGCCCCTAACACTCTGCCCAATGCTTGGCACGGAGTGAGGAACTTCCTCTTCTCTTCCAGCTCATACTGTGCCAGCCTTGTCGAATTCATCTTCTATAGCAGATCTCTAGTCATGTCACATCTCTGTTTAGCAGCCGTTGGTGGCTCCTAATTACTCATTGGATAACAGCCATCTTCTCTGGCTCGGTCTTCAGGGCCCTGTTTTGTGGAACCTACCTCCCCTGTCAGGTGCATCATCCTCCGTTCCCCTCCACACAGCCCACATGCTGGGAAGCTGAGCTACACGCTTTGCGTGCTTTCCGCTGCGGTGCTTTGCTCCCTCGGACAGAGTACCTGTCCACCTAACATGGACTCTGGCGCCAGGCTGAGCTAAAACAGACTGTTGTCTAGTAAGTGCTCCCCGGTCTGCCAGCCACGCTGGCCTCTTCGCTCCTCTGTCCCCTCCCTGGCTTTCATCTGTATCTCTCTTGCAAGACGGCCAGGCCTTATCGTTCCTTGCCGGGCTGGGAGCTTCCTGAGGGCGAGATCTGTTTCCAAGTCACCAGTGGGTCCTGTACGACACCTCACCCTCACTATGTGAACGAGTGATGAGTGAGCGAGGGAAGGAAGGAATGAAGGCTCCAGTCCCTGCCCAGCTGGGTTTCCCCTCCATCAAATGCTAGTTACATAAGCACCTCTGAGACGGTTCAGTCCACCCATGAGCCTTTTCCTTTCACTCATTGTGGCCCTTGTTGGAGTTACTTCGGAAAAGAGGGAATTCAGGGATATGAACTGAAGAGGAAATAAACAGAAGAAACAGAGTTGAGGTTTTCCCTAAAGCCCTGGCAAAGAGGAAGGTGGAAGGGAAGCTAAACTAGGTCTGTGGCCTCCCTAAGAGGGAGAGGGACCCTAAGGCCCAGGCCAGGCCCCAGAGCACAAGCTGTGGCCCGAAGTTATGGGGGCAGAGTGGGATTTTAAAACCAAAGAGAGGGGTTTGAGGGAGACCCTGGGTATTTTGTCTGAGTCACTGCTTATGGCCAGGACCCCCGCAAGACCCTGCTGGCAAAGCCAAGAGCTCTGAGTCCTAAAATCCAGCAGGTGCTGGGCCCGCGGGGAGAGGTCCACACACAGGAGAAAGTGCCCATTGTTAGAGCAAAACAACCTCCTGTGGCTCTCTGAGACTTTGGTGGGAAGCTTACAAGGAATAAGGCGTGGTAAATCGAAATTAAGGGCATGATAGCCATGACTGCTCATTCAAGATGCCTCAGATGATAGTCCTGTGCTCCGTCGCGTGCTGCCTATTGCTTATTACAGTGACTGTAGTGAGATTTTTAAAGGCTTTTCTTGGTGTGCCTCTAGACTGCGTCAGTTCTGTTTCTGCCCGGCAGGTCTTCTGTTCTGGGGGGTTCAGGAGCCTGACCCCTGAGGGCGGGGAAGGGACAGTCTGCACTCGGGGCCTGGTCAGTGTTCTTGCCTGATACAGTTCCTCTTTGATCAGAATAACAATTTACAATAAAGAAACATGAAATTCAGATGAAGCTAGCACAGTGTCACACTTCAGAAAATTGTATTTTTAGTAGAGATGACCACTAATTCCTCACCTTATAATGGACAATCCTGTCTTCTTAGCTAGGCCCCTACCTATATTTGGCAAATAGGTATTCAGGGATTTTCTAGAAAATAATTTTTACCTCAGATGCCTAAATGCATCCTTCATGCCTTCTTCAGCCTAGTGCGTCTTCTGTATAAAAAGGCATTTTGTGGTGTTTTCAGTGGGTGTGACAGGTGGTGCAGGAGAAAGTAAACAGATCTTGCGTCTGTGAGGAGGGCCTGTGTTCAAATTTCATTCCCCCTCTTGCAATGACCTGAGGCAGATGACTTAAAACCTTTGAGCCTCCCCTTACTTTTCTTTTGAGTAGGGTAGCATTTCTTTTGCTCGTTTCATCAACCTTTATTGTGTGCAGGTATTTCCTTAGGCACTGAGATCGCAGATGAATCAAATTCACCATCGTAGAATTCTGGGGGCAGAGAGGACCTCACCAGTCACCAGGTTCAGAGTTTCCCTGTTTCACATGAGGAAACAGGCTCAAAGAGAGGATATTTGCTAGAGGTTCCAGTGTGACACACAGATGTGCCAGAGAGAACTCTCGTGTGTGAGGAACTCGGCCCAGGTGACTCCCAGCACAAGCCCATGTGGTATATCCCAGGGAAGGTCGCCATTTTATAAGGCAGGCCACTAAGGTTCAAGGAGGTTCAGTGACACGTCTATTTGCCTGGTGAATCAATGATAGAACTGCTGAGGGGGGCCAGGGCCTCATGCCCATCCCCCATCCCCCACCCCCACCACAGCACCCAGTCGGTCCATCTTCATAAAACACTCAGTTCACCTCTGCTCCAAGTCCTTGAAGGGCACTAGGGTCGTATAGAGGACTGATCTGCAGTCCCTGCCCTTGAGGGGTTTGGTCAGACAAGACCATTGCTCCCACAGCCCAAGATGAAATGGGGGAATAGAGGAAGGTATGCCAGAGCTGTCCAGGAAAGCTGCATAAAGGAAGTACATTCTGGTGGGATTCACAGGGTATTTGGGACCTCCCTCGCCCCGCCCCCCCCCCCCCGACCCCCCACCGCTTCTCTTCCTTGCTGTGGCATCAGGAACAAGCCCCTCCCCCCACTGGCATGTGTTTGCAATGGCTGCTGGGGAGAAATCTGTGGGAAAGGGTCCAGGGCATCTTGCCACTTCACTCAGTAGGGTCTGTGTTCTCTGCTTCAACAGAAAGGATCCTGCCTTGTCCTCCAGGATCCTATGGCCCTGGAGAGAGGGCTGCAGGGCCCAGGGACACTGCTGACTCTTCAGAACGTGCTGACATGGAGCCAGGTCAGTCCCCTTGTCTGCTCTGATTTTCTGTGTCATCAACTGCAAACCTGTGGTCTTAATGAGAAATGCCATCTTGGAATCTGAAACCACGCATGTTTTTTGGTGGAAGGCTTTGGCCACTATGCAGCATGGGGAGTAATAGGAGGTCAGGCCAGAGTGGGAGGTATCGTTTTCGGGGAGCAGATGCAGTAGGCGGCGCGGTGGGTGCTAGAAGCCCAGGCAGCAGCCAGCACAGTGGGAGGGCAGGGCAGGCAAGGCCTAGGCATCCAGGTGGGAGGTACCATGGGCGCTAGCAGCCGGGAAACATCGTGCAGGTCCGGGACCACGGTGGGGGGGGGGGAGCGGGGGCAGCAGTGGCCATCAGGATCATTCCGGAATCTGGGAGACCAGGGGCAGGGTCCAGAGTCGGATGGTTCCATGTTGAGCTGAGCTGGAATGAGATCAGAGGCATAGTTGAGAGTGTGGCAGGAGAAGCTGAATGGGTGGCTGCCGGGACAGGGGGGCTGGGGGCTGGGGGCTGGGCCAGCCCGCCAGAACGGCCCTTTCGAGGCTTTTCTCCGTGTTGCTATGCAGAAGAACAATGACAGAAACAGTACAGAACACCTGGGTTGCGTCAGGAAAATGGAAGGATGTTTTAGGCTAGAGAAGGTAGCATCATAATGGAGGCTAGGTCATGATGAAGAAGGCTGAAGAGTCAGAGGAGCTGGGACTCAGGACCCAGGACCCCGGGAAAGAGCCCTGCAGTGAAAACCTCCTGTGAACCAAGCACTTCTTCTTATCTGCCAAGCAATCTTGCCAGGTAGACGTCTGAGTCTCTCTAGGCTCGGTTATGCTCCAGTAATAAGTTAACTCCAGAATCTCAGTGGCTCGAAAGAGCAAAAGTGTATTTCTTTTTTTTTTTTTTTAAAGATTTTATTTATTTATTCGAGAGAGAGAGAATGAGAGAGAGCATATGAGAGGGGTTAGGGTCAGAGGGAGAAGCAGACTCCCTGCCGAGCAGGGAGCCCGATGCGGGACTTGATCCAGGGACTCCAGGATCATGACCTGAGCCGAAGGCAGCCGCTTAACCAACTGAGCCACCCAGGCGCCCCCAAAAGTGTATTTCTTGTTCGTGTTCCATGTCCAACCAAGGGAGGTAGAGGACTCTGCCCTACCGAGCGACTCAGGCCAGCTTGATGAAAACTCTGCTGGGTTGTAGGGATACCTCCTGGAACATTCGGCCACCTTGGTGTCTGCAGTCGAGGCCGAGAACCGGAAGGCAGAGCGCTGGCCCTTAAATGCTTTGGTCCAGAAGTCACCTGTAGCCCGCGGGCCCAAACTAGTCACATGGTCCTGCCTGACTTCTAGGGCTCTGGGAAACGTGGGGGAAATGAGGTTATTCGATAAGAGTAACTGTCTCTGCCACAGGAGGTAGGTATTATTTCTGTCTAACAAGCAAGAAAATCGAGGTGCAGAGAAATTAACTGTGTTGTCTGAGGTCTTCCAGCTAAAAAAGTGCTAAAGCCTAGATCTTACATAACCTCTGATTCATTCATTTATTTGGCAATTCGACAAAGGCGTACTGAATACCAACAATAAGCCGAGCACCAAGCGAGGCTCTGGAGATAGCACAGGGAATGAAAGCAGAGGTAGCTGCTGCTCTCAGCCTGAAAAACATGTAAGTACAAGCCGGGAGGAGCACTCAGCCACCCCGACACGGCTGTCTGAGGAGAGCTGTTAAGATTATTAGCTTTTCATGTAGAAGGACGGGTAAAATGGGGTCACGTCTATTGAGGCCTTGTGCCAAGTACTTGATTTGTGCATCTCATTGAACTCAGGGAGCTCCATAAGGTAGTACTTACCATCCCATTTTTAAGATAAGAAAACTGAGGTCCGCTCACTGAAGTAAGATAACTAAGCTAAAGGTGAACCGTCGACCCTAACCGTGCTCACTTGTAATGCACGAACGGTGGAAGAAGAAATTGAACCTTGCCACCCCCACGCCACCGAAACCCAGGAAGAATGCTCTCGCCTTCCTCCTCTAAACTCTCCATCCCGGCCCTGCTCCCCCAGCTCCCCCAGCATCCTGCTGCTGTCACATGTGAACACAGCTTTCAGCGACAACAGAGGAGGCCTCGTGGAGGCCAGACCCTGGGTCGGTCACTCATCCCAAGTTGGTGCCGCCTGTGGAGCTGGGCCCATAGCAAGGCTTGTTGAACTCCAGGAGGGAGGGAAGCAGTCACAGAAATGAAGGTAGTGGGATCTGACTCTGGCAGGATGGGGTCAAATCTGAGCCTTGGCCCAGGCAGATCCTTCTGTCTAGAGTGTTCTCCTTTCTCTCGCGGCCTTATCTCCCCTCATCCCTCCCATTGCACACTGTGTTATATGTACGTGACTCCATCACTTCTCTCCCCTCCTCAGCTTATGTGACCACCTCCTCTGTCCCCACACTGGTCCAAGCCATGGTCTCGTACCTGGATTATTGCAGTGGGCTCCTCATGGGGCTCCACTTCCATCCTTCTCTCCAGGACTCTGCCACCAGTCAGATCAGAATCACTTCTCTGCTCAAAACCTGCCGTGTGCCCCCATCTTTGGCAGAGGAAAAGCCAAAGGCCTCACGGTGACCCACTAGGACCTAAATGAGCCAACCCATCTCCCATCCCACCCCTTCTCTCCTGTGCACCCCTCACCCACGCCGTTCGCTTCTTCACTGTTCCTTGAACCATAAACACACTCCCACCTCAAGGCATAAGGCACAGACACCTTTTTTTCAGTCTTGGGAAAGCTCTTCAGGCAAAGGGATAGCACTGAACAGACCTCCACATCGCATCCGAGGGAGCAGAGCTCACATAGGCTGAGAGGTGCCCAACGAAGTGTGTTTGCGGCTTGGGAAGTGCCCCCCCCAACTCCGTGCAAGGAGCCACCCTCCCAACCCAGGCCTTCCTGTGCCCTCTTCCTTTGGCGCTTGCCCATGTGACACTTCTCTCCACCTGCTGCATCATCTGTTACTCTGTAAGCTTGTCTGTGGTCTGTCTTCCCCCGTTGGAACATAAGCTCCGCAAGGGCAGGGATTTACTTTGTGCTGTTTCCTGGAGTGTTCTTACTCCTGGAACAGGTGCTCGGTAAGCACATATTGAATGAGTGAATGAAGAAACAAATACTTTCACAACACATTCCACATCGATATTTGCTTACACGCTATTGTCACCCTCCTGCCTTTATGTATGTTATTCCGAACCCTTCCTGGAATGGCCCCACTGCCCTTCTCCCCCAGCTAAACTCTCGCTCTTTCTCACTCACTCTGCCTGCCCAGGTGGGCCCAGTCTCTGTAGGAGCACACAGCCCCAGCATTATCCCGCCATCCCCTTGAGCCTGGAGATGTCAAGGGCAAGCGCAGCTCCTCGTCCTTGAGCCCTTCCCCGCCATGCCTGGGGCACAGCTAGAGTCCTGCTACTGTTTGCTGGCTTGAGCCAAGTGGACCAGAGCAGCATGTAGAATTGCAGCCCTGGGGCTACCGCTCTCCTCCCCTGCATGTCACCTCACCCACAATCAGGAGGCAGGGAGCCCTCACTGCCAATTCAGTCGCCTCCTGCTTAACGCCCGCCTCAGAGATCAGGAAGATGAGGCAAATGGGACACTAACGAAATGCAGAGAGAAAACTAAATTGGGAGGTGTTGCAAACACTGAGGAGGAGGGAGACTGATTTAAAAGGATCTCTCCAGTGTGGGAGGGGGAGTGCAGTGCAGGACTGCAGAACCCCGGAGTTAGTGTCCCCATGTCCCACCTCTGACACCTGCGTGTAGGGTGGCCTGCATGATCCCTGTAGCTCCAGGGGCTTCACATTTCTGACTTTAAATTAGGAGCCTTTTACTTGATTGACTCATTTGTTCATTCCCACCTTCCCACTAACTTGCCAAAAAAGATTTGAGTGGGTTAACAATCTTAACTTGATTAATTAATGAAGACCAAGAGCAGTTAATGCAAAATTAAGGTAGAAAGTAAGAGGAAAAAAAGGGAAGGGGAAGGGACACCTGGGTGGCTCAGTCAGATAAGCATCTGCCTTTGGCTCAGGTCGTGATCCCCAGGTCCTGGGATCGAGTCCCACATTGGGCTGTCCACTCAACAGAGAGTCTGCTTCTCCCTCTCCCTCTGTGATCTCTCTTTCGCTGTATTGCAAGTAAATACATAAAATCTTAAAAAAAAAAAAAAAAGGGAAGGGGAGAAGAAAAAGATTTCCAGGGCTGCTCAGAGAGGGGGTTCTGGGAAAAGGGTTACAGGTGGGGTGGTGGATGCTGACGACCTTTAGGGATGGAAAAGCTCTGGTCAAATGGTAGTGACGATGACCAGTGTTTCAGAGCATTTCATATCCACTGTCTGATCCTTCAGTTATAGGCATTGTCTGCTGTATGCCAGGGACCGCCACAGGGCATTTTTTTTTTCTCTGTCACATTGAATGCTCACAGCACCCTGTGGTCTTTTAAAGCCCATTTTTGAGATGAGACAACTGGGTCTCAGAGACATTGGTCGTCTCTTCAGCAAATGGTGCTGGGACGATGGCTATCCACATGCAAAAGCGTGAGGTTGGACCTTTCCTCACACTGTACACAAAAATTAACTCAAAATGCGTAGTTGACCTAAATGTAAGAGCTAAAGCCATAAACCCTTAGAAGAAAACATAGGCATAAATGCTCATGACCTCAGATTAGGCAGGCAGTGGTTAGGCACACACAAAAGGGAGGAAAACAATACATAAATTGGACATCATCAAAATTAAAAATTTTTGTGCTGCAGAGAACACCATATGGGAAATAAAGATGAGCCCGGAATGGGAGAAAATATTTGCAGTCATAGATCTCACAAGGGATTTTATTGCAGAATATATAAAGAACTCTTAAACTCCGCAATAAAAAGACAAAGGGCCTAATTCAAAAATGGGCAAAGAGTTTGAATAGGCATTTCTCCAAAGGAAACAACAGAAATGGCCAATAAGCGCATCAAAAGATGTTCCACATTTTTAGTCA